CTTGGTAGACCACCCTATCCCTTTTCCTGCCTTCCCTCCCACCCCCCAAAAAGAAATATGTGTTTGGGCAACGAGAATAGTCTGAAATCCCTGGTTTAAAATTCTACCTTAGAACCGAGTGAATAATTCCCAATGAATAATGTAATCATTCACAATGAATCTGACATGTTTCTTTTGCTGTTTGAGAGCCTTCAACAACAGATGCCAATTTCACATTAACGTGGTTTTTTTTTTTTTTTGAGGGGGCTGTTCTTTTCTGCACTTGTATAGAGTGCTGTTCACTATACTATGTGTTTATGGGCTGCTTGTCATTCAAGTTGGGTTCCTGGGCATGATTGGCTAGCTGTGACATGCCCGTTGTCGCCGTTGGATGATTGGACGGGCAGGTGAGCGCTTCTGTTACAAATACCTGCGCGTGTGCGCTTAAAATTCCGTTTCCATGGCTACTCATTCATGCCGCTTTGAAATTCACTTTCCATCAACGCCGGTGCCAATAAAACTCAATCACTTCAGTGTTTGTAGAAAGCAGGCAGAAAAAGGGACAGGAGGGTACATTTGCAAGCTCTGATACGTTTGTGACTTCTGAGTTTTGCTTGGCAAAATCCGGTGTGGTTCCCATTTGCGGGCTTTCTGCCCACTTCTCTTATGAACAGTACTGGCAGGTTTATTTTCCCCAGAGCTATTAGCCTGCCTGTACAGGGACACAACGGCGCTGTGGGTTAAACCACAGAGCCTAGGGCTTGCTGATCAGAAGGTTGGCGGTTCGAATCCCCGCAACGGGGTGAGCTCCTGTTGCTTGGTCCCAGCTCCTGCCCACCTAGCAGTTCGAAAGCACGTCAAGTGCAAGTAGATAGATAGGTACTGCTCCAGTGGGAAGGTAAACGGTGTTTCCATGTGCTGCTCTGGTTCGCCAGAAGTGACTTAGTCATGCTGGCCACATGACCCGGAAGCTGTACGCCGGCTCCCTCGGCCAATAAAGCGAGATGAGCGCCGCAACCCCAGAGTCAGTCACGACTGGACCTAATGGTCAAGGGTCCCTTTACCTTTACTTTACAGCTGGAGTTGATAGGTTGCAGGGCTTACAGAAGAATCACCTCCTTCCTTTTTGTTACATGCATTCCAAGGTCCACCAACTGGAGCAAGATGCAAAATTTTGTCAGTGAAGCAAAATGGCCGCTTGTGGGTGGAGTCAATTATTAATTAATTAAATTTATATCCCACCCTTCCTCCCAAAGGAGCCCAGCAAACAAACAAAAAAAAAAGACAAAACAATTAAAAAATACTTTAAAAATAATTCCAGTACGGATGCAGACTGGGGAAAATCTCTAGGCTTGTTGAAAGAGGAAGGTCTTCAGTAAGTGCCAAAAAGGCAACAGAGAGAGTGGAGTATAAATAATAAAATTATTATTAATAATAATAATATTCAAGAGGAGGGAATTCCAAAGAGTAGTACCACAACACTAGAGGCCCAAGTCCACTATTGTGCAGAATGGAATTATTATTATAGTAACTATTACTATTATTATTTAGATTTATATATTGTGCTTCATCAAAAGATCTCAGGGCAGTTCAGCTGATAGTGTCTGCATGAGGCTCTCACCTGTCATCAATTGGGTATATAAGAGGTAAGACAATTTTTAAAAAGATATTCTGGTCCCAAGCTGTTTAAGAGTTTCCACGCCAGAACCAGCACCTTGAATTTAGCCTGGTAGCTAATTGGAAGCCAGTGCCATTCTTTCAACAGTGGGACAACATAACGGCGCTATCCTGCCCCAATGAGCCATTGAGCCGTCACATTTTGCACCAGTGGCAGCTTCTGGACCAACCACATAGAGTGCATTGCAGCCATCCAGCTTGGGGGTTACTAATGCATGGATGACAGTGGTCAGCCTATCCTGGTCCAGAAATGGCTGTAGCTGTGTTACCAGCTGAAGCTGGTAGGAGCTAGCAGCTGAGGTCACCAGGACCTCTACTGACAAAGATGGATCCAGGTGGACCTCCAGACTACAAACCTGCTCTTTCAGGGGGAGAATGAGCCCAAGGCAGACAGTTGTCCAATTGTCTAAAATAGGACACACCGCCACTCTACTGGCCAGAGGAACAATGGCTGCTCGGTCAGTTTCAGCTCCTTTGTCCAAGCAAGACCAGCAACAAGAGAAGATCAACATTGTCAGACTAGACCTTCCCCTTCTACTCTCCCCTCCCCTCCTATTTTGTCTCTTGTCTTTTGACATAGTAAGTCATAGGGCCTGAGGGCCTACGTCTCATTTTTTGACTGACGTGAGATGCACTGGGAACGTCTGAAAAAGTGGATTTTTAATCTATCTATCTCTTATCTATCTATGCAGTTACAACAGTGTGCGGGAAGTGCAACAGCAGGGATCATTCAGTTTGCAACTGAAGGGTTAATTTCATTAACATCCGCTAGACAAAAGGGGGGTGGGTGGAGGTGCTGCTTAGCAACCAAGCAGAGTGACCTGCTGTTTGCTGAGGTAGCAGATGCCTTGATAAGCTGCGTAGTTCTGAGGGAGTTTTTCTCCTGTATGTTTGGTTGTAATATGATGAGAACAAGGATTGACAAGAAAGACAAAATGTTGCTGTTCATTCCTCCTCTGACTATACCGTTTTCCTTCAGTTTTGTTCAGTAGAGTGTTGTCAAGACTTTTCTCTCTGGACTTTGTGTATTTGAGAGACTTTGCTAAACATGTCACAAATACCTTCGTTTTTATTCAACCCCACCCTGTTTTTCTATTGTCTCTTTCTCTCTTCCACCTGACTAGGGTTACTGGGCATTCTCAGTCCTCATCGGACTGGGCTTTTTTGCCAAATTGGGTTGCATTTTTAATTTTTGGGGGTACATCTGCAAATTTCAGGGGTATGGTTTTCAGTACTGTAGCTTGGTATTGTTGGCACCCAGATACTTGGCGTTTGCTTTTAGGAGGAGCTAGGCTGGCACTGAGAAAGGAAGCTGGTTCTTTTTTTCCATTTCTTTGCATCTGCATGATTAAAAGAAAGGTGTGTGTGTGTGTGTGTGTGTGTGTGTGTGTGTAGTCCTTTTGTTCTTAGTGGAGCAGGGAAAGTAGCAAAAAAGGATTAGTAAGAGTGGGAGACCGTAACTTATTTAGAGGCGCAGCAAACAGGAATAACAAAGTTGATTCTGTTTGGAAAGTGAGCAGACAAGCTGCCCTAGTCAGAAAGCGAAGCCAGCTGGGCTTGAGGTCATGATCCAGGACTGTTCGCCTGCACAGAAACATGTAGCTACTGATAACAACACTTAACTGATTACAGTTACCTAAATATATCTCCTTATCGTGGAACTGGTTTAACAGTGCAAATATTTTTAAGCTGTTTTTAAAAAATTGTTTGTAGGTATATTCAGTTTTGTTTTATTTTGTTTCCTTAATTCTGGGTCAAACAGGTGCCTAGCAGAATGCTTGTTTTGACAACAGATGTAGAGAAGAAGAAAGTGCCACAGTAGATTATTTTTTTAAAAAGATAAATGTCTGCCAACAAAATTAGTGTTATGCATAAGAAACAAAAACAAAGGGGACACCCCACACATAGGGCTCCATCTGCACTATATATTTAAACCAGTATCATACCACTTTAAACAGTCATGGCTTCCCCCAAAGAATCCTGGGAGATGTAGTTTGTTAAGGGGGCTGAGAGCCATTAAGAGACCCCTATTGCCTCCCCAGAGTTACAATTCCTTGAGTGGTTTAGCAATCAGGTCTTCTACTTAGGAAACTCTGGGAACTGCAGGTCCACGAGGGGGGAGTGATCTGGAGACACTCAATGCAGTTGTGGGCAGCACCTCTCCCTGTTCCTGCCACTAAAACAGCCACAATAAATTAAATAACTAACAATTTTCTGCTGTCCTTTCATGACACTCCAGACCAGCTGCCTGAGGTGATTTCTTCCCTGTGCCCAACAGTAGGGCCAGCATTGTCTGAATACCCTAATGCAGGGGTCAGCAAACTTTTTCAGCAGGGGGCTGGTCCACTGTCCCTCAGACCTTGTGGGGGCCGGACTATATTTTGAAGGGAAAAAAAGAACGAATTCCTATGCCCCACAAATAACCCAGAGATGCATTTTAACTAAAAGGACACATTCTACTCATGTAAAAACATGCTAATTCCCAGACTGTCCGTGGGCTGGATTGAGAAGGCGATTGGGCTGCATCCGGGCCCCAGGCCTTAGGTTGCCTACCCATGACCTAATGTGTCGTTTGGCCATCTCTGGGAGCTGTGGCCTAGTGGGCAGAGGCTGAGGGTTAGCACCAAGGAAGAGCAAGAAGAATTTCTGGAAACCATGATTCTGGCACCACATGAATACCACATCCTTTCCGTCCCTGATCGGACTTGAAGGAGATTTGATTGTGAGGCTCCTTACATTGCAGTGCAACAACTAGAGCACAGCATTGCGTTGTAGTCACTGGAGTGCAAGTGGGGAACCTGTGGGTAATGGTCAGGGATAGCAGAAGCTTTCTCTCTACCCCCTTTTCAGCCTGAGGGCCAAATTCCTTCCTAGGCATCCTTCTGGGGGCCACATGCAAGTGGTAGGCGGGGCCAGAAGGAAAAGTGGGTGGGGCAAAGTCTGCTCACTTGCAGAGTAGGGCTGTAAAGCCGGATGGAGGTATCCTAAGGCAGCATTTCCCAACCTTGGGCCTCCAGCTGTTTCTGGACTACAACTCCCATAATCCTCAGCTAGCAAGACCAGTGGTCAGGGATGATGGGAATTGTAGTTCGAAAACAGCTGGAGGCCCAAGGTTGGGAAACACTGTCCTAAGGAACTCTGAAATACATATCAGCCACTCGCTACACTGGGATCTGCCTGCTGAGGGGTAGATGCCTCACTCCACCTCGCGCAAAGGCTAAGCAACATCTCTGCCTGCATCTGGGGTTCTCTGCCCTGCCCTGGATGACTTGGAGGAGGCGGGAGAGGAGGGAGGTTGAGAAACAATAGCTGCAAAGTGCTCCCTTTGTCTGGCGCAGTCCCTGGCAGGCTGTGTGTGCTTCTTTTTGTCCTTCATTCCTTTGTCTGGGAGGGGAGGAAGGAGGAGGATGGCTGCCCTTTGAGCAGATGGCTGCTTGCCGCTCTTTGATGATTTTCTTTTTTTGTGGGGGGAACTCCAGACATTCCTAGAAGGGCCTGTTATGGAGAGGGGTAGAATTGACAGTGTGTGTATGTATGTGCATCAATGGCTGTTCCTTCTCTTGTTCTTTTGTGTCAATACTGGGCTCCTGGCTGAGAGAAGGAGGGCTGGCTTTTCTTTCTTACTTACTCTGCACATGTTCAGTTTCTAAATGAGCTGCACTGGGGAATTGCATAGACCAGGGGTAGGCAACCTAAGGCCCGTGGGCCCGATGCGGCCCAATCACCTTCTCAATCCGGCCCACGGACGGTCTGGGAATCAGTGTGTTTTTACGTGAGTAGAATGTGTCATTTCCATCAACATTTTTTTTAACGCTGAATTCTAATGCTTGAATTTGTTTGCTGGTTTTTCTTGCACTCCAATTTTTATTGAATTTTAATGCTTTGCCATTTTGGAAGCCGCCCAGAGGACACTGCCATTGGGTGGCATAGAGATGCTATTAATCAAAATCAAGAAATTAATAATAATAATAATAGTAAATGCATAGAGTTGCATCTTTGGATATCTGCACACAACTGCGTTTTGTCTTTGAAAGCGAGAGAACTTGTGCTCATGAAATACAGCCCTGTTTTAATTCCAACATTACTGAGAACAGGCTACCCCACTGCAGCCCGGCTATATGACTGCAACTAGAGACCAATTATCCCTTCTCACCCAGGAAAGTCAAGAAGGCTTTGTTGTTGTTGTTGTTTGGTCACAAAGTGACTAATCTACTCCTCCCTCTCTTTTTAAGTATTCAGTTGCCTATGCTAAGAGTTAGTAGGCCCTCCAAGAATGCTTGATTTCTGGGGCCAAGAATGCGGCTAATCTTCTGATAGATAATAGGGTTCTTAGTAGGAGCAGAAAATAGCTGCAGGCTAGGAAACTCAGCTTCCTTTGTCAGCAAGGCTGGGCACTTCAGTGTATCTGATACCACACACTCCCAGAGGGGTCACTGAATTGGTCTATTTTGCAGCAGAACTAGCAAGGTGGCACCTTAAAAGACCTAACGAATTCAATATAGTGCAAGCTTTCATGAACGAGAGACCATGTCATTCAACATACCCTCTGACATTTCTCCAATGAAAATAGGAACATCCCGTTCCATAATGATAATTTTACTCTTTGTACCAATTGACAAACTGGAACGTGTCCAGAGGAGGGCAACCAAAATGGTCAAAGGCCTGGAAACGATGCCTTATGAGGAACGGCTAAGGGAGCTGGGCATGTTTAGCCTGGAGAAGAGGAGGTTAAGGGGTGATATGATAGCCATGTTCAAATATATAAAAGGATGTCACATAGAGGAGGGAGAAAGGCTGTTTTCTGCTGCTCCAGAGAAGCGGACACGGAGCAATGGATCCAAACTACAAGAAAGAAGATTCCACCTAAACATTAGGAAGAACTTCCTGACAGTAAGAGCTGTTCGACAGTGGAATTTGCTGCCAAGGAGTGTGGTGGAGTCTCCTTCTTTGGAGGTCTTTAAGCAGAGGCTTGACAACCATATGACAGGAGTGCTCTGATGGTGTTCCTGCTTGGCAGGGGGTTGGACTCGATGGCCCTTGTGGTCTCTTCCAACTCTATGATTCTATGATTCTACCCCACACATCTTATTGGGTTGCCCCAGGACTCTGAGCAGCTTCCATCATATGTAAAAACATAATAAAACATTAAACATTAAAAAAGCACACCTTCCCCATATGGAATTGCCTTCAGATGGCTCGGGGATTGGATCCATAGCCTCCAACATTTCTTCAGTGAAAATAGGGACATCCTAAGGAAAAATGGAAGGACAGATCCTGAAGCTGAGGCTCCAATACTTTGGCCACCTCATGAGAAGAGAAGACTCCCTGGAAAAGACCCTGATGTTGGGAAAGATTGAGGGCGCAAGGAGAAGGGGATGACAGAGGATGAGATGGTTGGACAGTGTTCTTGAAGCTACCAGCATGAGTTTGACCAAACTGTGGGAGGCAGTGGAAGACAGGAGTGCCTGGTGTGCTCTGGTCCATGGGGTCACGAAGAGTCGGACACGACTAAACGACTAAACAACAACAACAAGGGAAAATGGGACATTCTGGGATCAAAGCAGAAACCGGGACAGCTTCTCTAAATTAGGGATGTCTGTGGAAAACAGGGACAGTTGGAGGGTTTGCATCAAGTGCTGCAAGACTCCTTGTAGATTTTGGAACCAGGCCTTCTCCACTTCACACAAACCTCCCAGGTGCTTTTTATAGGGATCATAGAATTGTAGAGCTGGAACCTGCAATCTCAGCTAAAGCATCCATGGCAGGTAGCCACCCAACCTCTGCTTAAAAACCTCCCAAGGAATGTGGAAGTATAAGCTATAAATGACACAATCTGCAACACCTGCACTCCTCTGGTGAGGAAACTCCAAGGGATATTTTGGATACCTCCCTTCATGTTCAAAACAAATATTTGGGTAGGTGTTTTGCATTGCCGTTGCAGCTCTGATGGTTGTTAATGGTTGAAGAAAATAACAGGGAAATAGTCCCCTGCACACACATGGATTAAGTATATTTTAGATAGCCAGTGCTGGTCCTGATGAGGAGGTTTTTTTCTACACACATTTGTACGTTGTTGCCGTCCATCAGTCTTAGGAGACAGTGGAGGAGTGTGCCTTTGGGGGTAAAGTCAAACCGTTGGAAGTTTACAGCGCTTGCTGTGGCTGTAGAGACTGATACGAGAGAGACATATTTCGTCGCAGTCTGAATGATATCTCTCTGATTGCAGGCACCAATTTTGGGTGAGATCTCACTGATTTGGGGTGCGATCTCATGTGCTCAGCAAGATCTCACCTTGTTTTGGTGAAATCTTGCCGGAAATCTCCTCCACTGGCAGTGGAGATGACCGGGCAAGAGGAACACCTAATGATTGGGCTGGCCCTGTTCCTCTGTGAAGTACAGTATTTTTTGCTCTATAAGACCCACTTTTTCCCTCCTAAAAAGTAAGGGGAAATGTATGTGCGTCTTATGGCGCGAATGCAGGCTGAGCAGCTATCCCAGAAGCCAGAACAGCAAGAGGGATTGTTGCTTTCACTGAGCAGCGATCCCTCTTGCTGTTCTGGCTTCTGAGATTCAGAATATTTTTTTCCTTGTTTTCCTCCTCCAAAAACTAGGTGCGTCTTGTGGTCTGGTGCGTCTTATAGAGCGAAAAATACGGTATGTTACATGCCCATCTGATCCACTTATCTTAGCGGTGTTTTAACAATCAATCCTTCTTCACAGGGGATTCTGGCAATGGTAGCTCTATGAGGGGAATAGGGGTTGCCTAACAACTCCCAGCCCCCTTAACAAACAACAGCTTCCAGAATACTTTGGGGGCTTCTGAATTCAGGACTGTTTGAAGTGGATGGTGCAAATGTGGTCCATCTAGCTCAGTATTTTGACAGTGGCTCTCGAAGATTTCAGAGAGCAGCCTTTCACAGGCCCACCTCAAGATGCTGCGGATTTCACCTGGGACCTTATGCATGTAAAACTAGGGTTGCCATATTTCAAAAAACAAAAACCCAGACACCCTGAAACTCCAAAAATCCCCACAATTTTCCAATTGACTTGCCTAAGATCCAGGACAAAGCGTCACCTTTTGGAAATTTCCCCTGGACATCAATTCTGCCTTTGAAATCCCAGCAATAACTGGGGAAGTCCGGGCATATGGTGGCTGTATGTAAAACTGCTCCTCTGCCACTGAGCTCCACTGTTTCATGTGCCTTCCAGCTACATCCCAGGTCAAGTTTAGCTGCAGGAGTCGATTTGCAGGCCTGGCGGGGCCTTGATCTTTGAGGTTGTTTGTGTCAATGATGTTGATAAGACTGCTATTGGCTTCTTGTTTCATGGGGCAAAATTTCCAGGAAACCGGTATCTGGGTTTCTGATGGACTATATCTCACCAGGGGAGATATAAATAGCTCTCTTCCTGGTTTGAGTTTTGTTTTGCAGTTTAAGATGTACCAGAAAAAGAGAGAGAGACACAAATTGACTCACACAGCTGGGATTTTCACAGAAACATTTCTAGGTAGTGCAAAGGAACTTAAGACTGTACTGGCATGCACTCAAAACAGATCTACGAACAGAAAAACATAACAGAAACCTTGTGACCCAGGAGCCATCTGTCTCAGCATGACAAGGTGTCCTGTTTTGCAGGGGACACTTCTCTGTTTGAGTGGCCGCCTGGTCCTATTCCAGCCTAGATATAACAAAGCATAAGCGAAGTCAGATCAAGATTGTTAAGGACTCCAGTGCAGTTCTTAGAATTGCTCCCCTTCTTCTCCAGAAAGGACCAGAAAATAAATATTTTGGTATATTAAAGACTGATATATTTACAGTATTATGGTGTAAGTTCTCTTGGTCTACAAAAATACTGTGGAGACTGTGGGGTTTCATAACTCTCAGCAAAGCACACACTCCCGCCCCCAACCTTGATAAACAAAAAGAAACTACTCTGATAGCTAACATGATTTTTACATGTTTATAGAAATTTATAGAATAATTTTTGTTTTATTAAGAATAATTTAATTGTGTTAAATTTATTATTTGACTTTGCATTCCTGTACCCACTTACCTGGGAGCAAGCCCCCTTCATTGCAGACCCTTATGTCTGAGTAGACATGTATACTTATGTACTGTCAGTTATACAGTGAAATCTTAATGACTGCCTGAACTTCAGCTCCTGCAACAAGGGAGACATGCCTAAGCTGCCTCTACAAATTTTCAGATTTTTCACTTGCCATTTTGGGCGGAGTGGGTGGAATCTCTAACATCTATTTGTCCTTGTTGTGTAGTGGCAGAAAATAGCTTGTAGGGAGTACCCGATCTCTGATAAGCCCACTACAGGAAAGATGCTAGAAAGATAGGAAGAGGAAAGTATAGACATTCCAAGGGCTAGAAAATCAGTGAGAAGCAAGAAGGCATTCAAAGGGAAGGAGAAAACAGAAGCTGTTTATGATCCCAGGGATTCCTAATGTCTGGTGCCCAAGCACCTTACTCATCAATCACAGCTCTGACTTCACTCATTAGCTAAAACCACTGAAAGACATGAGCAGCAAGGATGTCCTGTGTCACACTTAGAAGGTTGCCTGCACATTTTGCTTCATAATTTTCTGCACAGGATGGCTAGAGACCCCTCTCTCCTTCCTCCACTCTCCTTTTAAAGTTAAAACTCACTAGTCTAGGCCCCTGCTAGTAGGGTTCCTAGTGCAGTTGCTCCAGTTGCACCATTATAATCTAGCTATGACCCTAAGAAGGAAGGACAGGGACCCTGAAGTTGCCACCAGTACTTTGTACCTGGTAGGAAGAAAGACTAATTTGGGACTTTCCCTAATACTAGGCAGTTGTATCAGTCTGCCTACCTCGATTTGTCATTAGAACCTAACCAACAAGTTCCACGTGCAGCAGATATTTTTCTGAAAGCAAGGGAGGGTTGTATCCATTGCATAATACACCGTGCTCCACAACAGTCACATTTCTTCTTTTCTCAACCAGGATTACGTAAGCATGGCAAGGGATTTGGTGGCTGCTGTCGAAAGAAATCTTTTAAAAGATGCTTCCAGGTGTTGGCTTTCTCCGGCGACTGGAATGTTTGTGTGACTAACCAGCAATGCTCGTATGTCAACGTGCTGGACACCCACAAGGAAGATGCCATTGGTGCCATTTCCGGTGGTGACAGCTATCTGCAAGCACATCACCAGAGGAGTGGCAAACCAGCTATGGTACCTTCCTCCCTCTCAACCCTCTTCAATGGGGTACTTGCTGGGTTTGTTGACAAGCGCAAATATTTTAAATAAACAAATAAAACAACCACATCAGCTTGGAGAAGTTTCCTGACAGAGTTGTGCAAGCAGTGGCAGACCTACATTTTGCGGCCCCTGAAGCTTGAACCCTTCACAACCAACAATGAGGTCTTCAATAGGGTTGTTCCACAACAAGTCACCACATTTTTTTTTAAAAAAATCAACTACCATATCTCAGATTTTGATTAAATTTGCTGTACAGTGGTACCTCAGGTTAAGTACTTAATTCGTTCCGGAGGTCCGAACTTAACCTGAAGCTGTTCTTAACCTGAAGCACCACTTTAGCTAATGGGGCCTCCTGCTGCCACCGTGCCGCCGGACCCCGATTTCTGTTCTTATCCTGAAGCAAAGTTCTTAACCTGAAGCACTATTTCTAGGTTAGCAGAGTGTGTAACCTGAAGCGTATGTAACCTGAAGCGTATGTAACCCGAGGTACCACTGTACTGAGTTATCTCACATGTCAAAGTCACTGGTCTGAATAAAAAAATCCTATGCCTTATAGTGTTCAAGTTATGAGTGAAGGATGAGAATTAGGGAATTGCTGTATACACACATGACTTCTAGAGCCGCTCCAGGATTAGGATCCCTGCAGCTTAAGCTTCCTTGGTTTCATAGTAGATCTGCCCTTGCATGCAAGTAAACATAAGACGGGTGTACAAGTAGCTAACTTTAATGGGAACTTAAATCCTAAGGTGCTCCCAGGTGACCTGTTTACTGAGCATTCATCCTGATTTCTTTGCGAGGAGATCAGATGATGTTGGCTGTTGAACTAGCATTCGTTCTGGTTTGTCTGCAGGGAGGTTAGATGATGTTGCATCATGCAAGTGTTATCCCATACTTGCCAGTGCACTTTCATGCCACTTATTGCAAAAAGCTGTTTTTTTTTTTGCAGAAGTGGGCTTCTTGTGCAAGAGCTCCCCATACAGTATAATTGCACACCCTGAATTTACCTGTATGTGATTGTATCCTACCTGCAAAGAGCAATGGCCTGAAGTACTCCTAAGGAAATCTCCAGAATTTTGAAATAGTTTTCGTTTCCCCCCTCCCAATTTGAACAACCCTCCCCACTAATTTCAGTTCCTGGGGAAAACACTGATGGCTACATAGTTGTAGCACAGGAATAGAGGGCATTTTTCAGCCCAATAGGCACATTCCCTCATGTATGGTGTCAATGTGACGTAAATCAGTTAACGTTAGCATAAACTTGCATGTGAGCAGAAAGAATTCTGAAAAAATCCCCCCCAAAATTCTTTGTTTTTAGATGACGCATCTGTGTTTCGCAACAGAAATGATCTCAGAAGAGGTGTTCGGCGTTTCCAGACTATCTTCAGGTGGGATTCAACCACAGACAGGCAAATCCAGGTTTTGCCATTATAGCCTATTGGGAAGTCTTGTGGAACAAACCTGCTTCACCCCCAAAAGATTTATTTTTTTGCAGTAAGGAAAGTGGCAAGAAATTGCACTGGAAGCTGTGGGACAACCCATGCTTTGATACGTCATCTAACCTCAAAATCAGAATGAATGCTCATTCTGGATGAATTCTCTGAAGCATTTCAACTAGAATTAACTGTTGACTTGTGTGTGAGAGCAAACCAACAATCATGCTTCTTCAAAGATGATGCAGCCCTATTTTAAACAAATCCAGTATTTTGGCTGAAAAGAAATCTGCCTCTAGTCATTTATTTTGAACCACACTAGCATTGGCTTTAAAATATAGGTGTCGTTTTCTTTAATTTTCTTAAACAAGACAGTCCCCACCCCCCACCCCAGAAGTAAATATATAGCACTCCTCCTTAAACCCCTGAAACTTTCCACAAAAGTATTTTTGTGGCACTGTCGTGTGGTAGATTGAATTAGTGGATTTCCAAGCACAGGGAAGAAATTTTGCAGCCAGTTCATCGTGAAATTCTCTTGCAGTTAACCATCAATTGTTTTTTCTCACACACACCCATGCTGTTTTGACGGAACGGTTTGTTTTTTCACGTCTGTCAGCTGGGAAATCCGCACCCTCCTTTTCTTCAAAAAGAGAACTTTTCCTCAGAATTTTCGAATGGAAGAAGCTCGCTTGTTTTCAGGATGTCACGATGAATGACTCATGGGCTTTGGACTGATCCTTCGGTGTGATGAGGAAATTCGAGAGCTGACAAGAGGAAAGAGGCAGCTTTGGATTTGCTAGGGCATATTTCCTTGTCTAATTGGAATGCTTATTACAATTTGCTGTTCCTCCAATGGGGATTTCTCCTGACTCTCTGATTTCAGTATCGGCTTCATAATTGCATTCAGTTGCATTCTCCGGAGGTAAAGAAGAACTGATACCGTTTTCAAGAAAATGTAATGCAAAGTTAGCCTAGTGACTGCAGAGTTTGAACCAACCCCCCTCCCACTCCCCACAACCACCATTAGCTGACGTGATTATTACATCAGCACTCCTTTTCCTCAGCTGCTGTTCGGGAGAAATCCCCATTGGGACGCTGGTGGGTGGAGGACTTTAATGTGTGGAGGGGATGTGTTTCAGCACTCGAAGGCTCCTGTCTCACCGCCTCCACTTTCAGTTTTTAGTCCTAAGAGGTCAGTAGCGATGGGTGGAAAACAGAGGCCCACCAAAAATGATATATGAGGCCATCCTTAGATCACAAGTGACTCAAAATGCATCAGTGACCCTAATGGGACTTCTGAATGTTACACGTGTCCTTCCAAAGTCAACAGCATTCGAAGTAAGAATTTGTGTACCTCTCCAAACCACAGAGCCTAGGACTTGCCGATCGGAAGGTCAGCGGTTCGAATCCCCGTGATGGGGTGAGCTCCCATTGTTTGGTCCCAGCTCCTGCCAACCTAGCAGTTCGAAAGCACACCAGTGCAAGTAGATAAATAGGTACCACTCTGGCGGGAAGGTAAACGGCGTTTCCGTGCGCTGCTCTGGTTCACCAGAAGTGGTTTAGTCATGCTGGCCACATGACACGGAAGCTGTCTGTGGACAAACGCCAGCTCCCTCGGCCTATAGAGCGAGATGAGCGCCGCAACCCCAGAGTTGTCCGCGACTGGACCTAATGGTCAGGGGTACCTTTACCAAACCTTTGAGGATGAGATACCCTTGCACTTGGGGTTGTGACTCTGTATCAGAGAATCCGCTTTGCATGCAGAAGGCCCCGGATTCAATCCTTGGCACCTCCAGGTAGGGCTGGGAATATCTCCTCTCTGAAAACCAGAGAGCAGCTGCCTGTCAGTGTTGACAGTGCTGAGCTAGATGGATCAATGGTCTGAGTCAGCAGCTTCCTGTGCAAAACACACACGAGCGGTGTGTGGCTGCCCCGTGTGGTGAACCACTGAACTGCAGTTGGCAGTGTTCTTCATGCACTGGGACTATGTGGTCCACCCAGGCTGGTCATTGGATATCCCTGGGAAGGAAGTACACTGATCTGCTCACTGAGTGAAACCAAAATCAACACATTAGCCTGCCTCAGTCACAAGAGCTGCCTAACTTAGCACTCCTCAAGTTAGCCCTCAAGGGCAGTGGAAGACGTTGCTCATTGTCAGTGTCAAAGTGAGATTCAGCTGCAAGTCTGGTTGGCTTTTGTACACACAAGGGGAGAGAGGTTCATTTTGTCTTTTGCCTCAGGTTGCAAAAGGTCTTGAGTCGGCCAGGGCAAACAACAACCAAAATGATCAAGGGGATGGGGCAAGTCACCTGTGAAGAAATATTTCAGTGCTGGGGACTTTTAGGTTTAGAGAAAAGGGGAATAAGAGGTTGTCAGTTTGCATTTCTTAGTAAAGAAAGTATTGATCTGATGTGTAGAGATATTTCCTATTCCAATTAATTCATGAGGGTTCTGGAAGCTTCTCTGTGTGAAAGAAATGAGCAGAAGGTTCATGATGGTTATTATTATGGTGCCTCTCCCAATATGTAACCCAAAGTAAAAACAATATTAAACCATAAAATGAAAATTTTAAAACAAAACATAACATAGATTTATTGCGACACATGACAGGATCTGATTTTCCTTACATTATTAGTATAGTGTCCAGATCAAGGAAAGTAATATTGCCACTCTGTTCTGCCTTGGTCACCAGCCCAGTGAGGACTGAGCATGCTGAATGACTGTTGAGGGTGGGGGAATGGAATATCCTGGAAAAGGGTAAAGCTGGATGGAACCTTGAGCAGGACAACAGAATATCCCAGAAAAGGTCATGGCTGATTGGAACCCTGAGCAACGCTTTCTTTTGCAGGTTTGACTTGTTTTATTTTCAACAAAATTTATCACCCACATTCCCCTCTCTGAACAGAGATGTTCAAAGCTGCTTGGAAAAGCACACAAAAGAAGAAAAAAGCTTGGTTCATTTAAAATGCAGTAAATATAACAAAATTGCACCTTTTGTGTTGAAGTGCTGCCTGTCATGACTCAAATGTTTCGGTACAGGGTAATTTATGCACTAAACCAAGGAAGGCTTCCCAATGGGAGGAGCTGGTGTTTCACTTTTGCGAGCTGCTATTTAAGCAGGAGGCACAGAATGGGAGAAGGGGCTGCTGGGAGAAGCCAAGGGTGATAGCGGCACATGCATTTTGTATGCTGCTTCTGTGGTGAAAAAATCTATACCTCTGTAAAGAACAGTATGAGAGCACTGCCCAGCAACTGTACGTGTTTTTCACAATACATTTGTACTATCTGCGAGAGCCAGCATGGTGTAGGGGTTAAGAGCGGTGAACTTGTAATCTGGGGAACCGGGTTCGCTTCCCCGCTCCTCCACATGCAGCTGCTGGGTGACCTTGGGCCAGTCACACTGCTCTGAAGTCTCTCACCCTCACTCACCTCACAGAGTGTTTGTTGTGAGGGAGGAGGGGAAAGGAGATTGTTAGCCGCTTTGGGGAGTGAAAGGCGGGATATCAAGTCCAAACTCCTCCTCCTCCTTTTCTTCTTCTTCTTCTTCTTCTTCTTCTTCTTCTTCTTCTTCTTCCCCTCAGAAAAGGAGGGGGCAATCAGCCCGCCATAGAAATCATCGAACTCTAAAAAGGAATATACTTCCCACCCACTCCACCAAATAAAAACATATCTGGGCAAGTCATAAGAGAAATTGTGTTAGCAAGTTTTTTTCATTGCTACTATGAGGTCTAACAACTTTATATACAGTGGTACCTCGGGATGCGAATGGGATCTGTTCCAGAGCCCCGTTCACATCCTGAACATAACGTAAGACGCGACAGCGCATCTGCACGTGTGTGAGTTTCGTTTCGTCGCTTCCACACATGCGCATGACGTCAATTTGACCGTCTGTGCATGCGCGAGTGGCAAAACCCGGAACGCAACCCGAACACACTCAACCTGAAGCGTATTTATCCCGAGGTATGACTGTATGTATAAATACCCACACACTGAATTCTGAAATGCTACAGGGCACTTTGTTTATGTAAGGATTGGCACTCAAAATTGAACTCAGAATGAGTTTGTTATTAGTTGTTGGCATCTGTCTGTCTTGAGAGACAATGGAGTGTGCCTCCAGGGGTGAAGTCAAACTGCTGTGTTAGCAGCACTGCAGTGACCTCCCTGGGGCACAAGCCAGGGCAGTGTGTAAGGAGGTCCTGGGCTGCCCAGATAACAAGACCCCCTCTCAGCCTCGCTGATGTGGCCCAAAGGAAAGCAGAGCAATATGTTTGACACCAGCTGGACTGCAAGATTTGCCAGAAGCAGGCATGCAAGGTGCCATCCAACCATCTTCAGGACTCCACTCTGGATTTGTGAAGGCTGTCCTCCTTAGCCTTTTCTTTTCCCGAAGATGTCACACAAGGCAGCAGAGGTTTAGGATCAGAGTTTTCCTTCTCCTGGGTGGGCTACTTCCCAGACTGACAAGCTCCATCTGCTGTTCGTAGGGCTGGGGAACTGTGGTGCTCTAGATATTGACAGACTCCAACTCCCAACAGTCTCAGCCATAATTGCCAATGGTCAGAGATGATGGGAGTTGGGAGTCCCTCAGCGTCTGGTGGGCTACAGGTTCCTTGCCCATGGCTTATAGTATAAATAAATGTGCAAGCCAAAAGCAAGGTACCAATGTGTACGTCCTGTTGTCTAGGGCCACGTTACTCATATACAACAAACTTATTTTTATTGCAGGGCAATAAGTACACTGGTTTATTGCTGGAAAGTACACTGAACAGAAACTGAAAGAAAATGAGAAGGGAAAGTTCAAGGGTAGAGTTGGAGCTCAGCCTATTATACCACGAGGTTATAGTTAACTCTATAATGTTCAGTATAGTTAAAGCTATGGTTTTCCCAGTAGTGATGTATGGAAGTGAGAGCTGGACCATAAAGAAGGCTGATCGCCAAGAATTGATGTTTTTGAATTATGGTGCTGGAGGAGACTCTTGAGAGTCCCATGGACTGCAAGAAGATCAAACCTCTCCATTCTGAAGGAAATCAGCCCTGAGTGCTCACTGGAAGGACAGATCCTGAAGCTGAGGCTCCAATACTTTGGCCACCTCATGAGAAGAGAAGACTCCCTGGAAAAGACCCTGATGTTGGGAAAGATGGAGGGCACAAGGAGAAGGGGACGACAGAGGACGAGATGGTTGGACAGTGTTCTTGAAGCTATCAGCATGAGTTTGACCAAACTGCGGGAGGCAGTGGAAGACAGGAGTGCCTGGCGTGCTCTGGTCCATGGGGTCACAAAGAGTCGGACACGACTAAACAACTAAACAACAACAACAACAAAGTGTTGTCACATTGCAGGTTCACTCTAAATTCGAAAGTTTGGGCCTGTATGAAGTTTTAATTCCAGCCAAACAGAACAACTTTCCTTGTATCAGAGAATCCAGACTGCAGACATTCTGACATGGTTGTTCGCTGACAACTTGGAATGTTCATGAACATTCTGTGGCTCAGCCAACCAGTGTGAGAGGTTTCAAGGCCACATGTGCAGTACAGTCTAGTGTTCATGCTTCAGAGCACTACCATAGCCGTTCAAGCTTCTATTCTCAGCCCAGCCTATGTTCCTGCTATTCTTAGCATAGTAAGAACGCAGTAAGCACACAGAGCTTTTTCACATCTTGCTCCAATAGTTTAAACAGAGGTGAGAGTTTTGACTTGGCCAAAGCATTACTAGGGGAATTAGGGGCACAGCATCTCAACCTTCTTCCGAAATGTTAGCGCCAAGAAGCCAGAGGGCCTGTCATGTGACTTGGGAGAATTGTTGGAGAATTCTGGCAAAAAAGTGTTTGCTGTTGCTGCTTTTGGTCTGCAAAAGATACGTAACTGATTATGTTTTTCTTATCATGGAGGCCTAATTAGGGACTGTTTCCGCCCTGAACCCCAACACAACAATCAGAAAGTGAAGGACGAGGTGGCTTCTCCCTCCAATGTGCCAGCGTGGTGTAGTGGTTAAGAGCGGTAGACTCATAATCTGGTGAACTGGGTTCGCTTCCCTGCTCCTCCACATGCAGCTGCTGGGTGACCTTGAGCTAGTCACACTTCTCTGAAGTCTCTCAGCCCCACTCACCTCACAGAGTGTTTGTTGTGGGCGAGGAAGGGAAAGGAGGATGTTAGCCGTTTTGAGACTCCTTCGGGTAGTGATAAAGCAGGATATCAAATCCAAACTCTTCTTCCTCTTCTTCTTCTCCATTCCAGGATTATCTGGAGGGGAGGGACAGCAATATGCACCTGACCGCCTGGCTGTGGCGTTGTTGCTGCTCACTGGGAGGGAAAGTCAAGGCAGGAGGTCCGTTGGCATAGTGTGGGTCACCAGCAGAGTCAATCTGGGCTTCTGCTAGTATGCCCATAGAATGGCTACTTCTCCACTGCTTTGACCTTGATTCCAAGCTGGGAAGCAGCAGTGGTGTCACAGACAGGAGACCAGATGTGTGACGTTGCCCTTCCTTCCGGCTGCTCCTGCTCTTTCTGCAAAAGCCAACTGGACGGGTGGATCCTCAATCGCACCTGAAGGCTAGCTTAGGGAGGCACAAAGCAGATGGTGTGGCACACACAGCTCTGTTCGTCATCACCTGCCCCATCTGCCGCCTGAGGCAGCTGTCTCCCTCTGCCTAACAGTAGGGTCAGACCTGCTTCAGATCTTTCCATATTCAGTCATATGAAAGACTTGGTGGACTCACACACAGCTTCGGCGCCATACTCTGCTTGTGGTGTTTGCTCGGGTCCCACAACGGGGAAGGAAGGTCTGGCTTAGGGCCTCCCTCCACTGCAATTTACCTGGGGACCGTCAACTGTCTCTGTGGTAACAGCCACCTCTTCCTCTGTTCGTGCTAAAATTGAATTCTAGGAATGAACAGAAAGCCCCGTCGCACTTCTGCTTTGCAGACATTCTCTCTCACATTTTCCGTTGCACGGAGAAAGCAGAACTAGACTCGCAGCACCATTCCCAAGATGATATCGCATAGCCTTCAGAAGAAAAGGTCGCTCCCAATGTCACTCATTGTTGCTTTTCTTTTTAGGGCAGGAAATTTTCATAGCTGGCCTCTTTCACCCGCCTAATTCCACACACATATCTTTTTTCTTGGAAGGGGAGGTAAGTAGTTCCCGCTTCAGATTTTGCAGGGCCTTCTCTGAGTGGCCCCCCTCATCACCACTCTCCATCTGCTTACCAGCAACCAGATGAGGCGCCTCTCTGCTCTTTTGCCTTACTCTCGTCACTGGTCACACAAGAACCCTACTTTATGTAGACCGAGTTTGCGCAATTGCCGGGAGTGTCTGGGAAAAACAAAACAAAACAAAGCATGGTGTGTATATGTGAGCGGAATGGCTCACTAGAGGAGGGCATGGCTGGCTCCTTTCAGGCCTTTTGGGAAGTGAAAACGCACTGCAAACTTTTCATTCCAGGTTCCAATTAAATGACCTTTATTAGGGGTTCCCAAACTTTTTTTGCCCTGGGACACATTAGGAAATCTAAGCAACCAAGAAATAGTCAGGGACACCACCAAACACCCATTTCACAGAATCTCTCCCCCCCCCCAGCAATGCTCAGAATTCTACCACAGAGAAACAACAGGCAGAACATCTATATCCCACTAACAAAACACAGAAAAAAAGCAGGCAACCCCACAAAAAAGAGCAGGTAGAAAAAACAAAACAAAACCCTGAACCCTCTCAATTATTAAAAAAAAAGAAAAATAAGAATTTGGATGGGCGAAGGACCTTTGCGGGTGTCTAAGGGCATTACGGACATCACATTGGGGACCCCAGATTTATACAGACATACAGTGTCTAAACCACAGAGCCTAGGGCTTGCCAATCGGAAGGCTGGCAGTTCGAATCCCCGCGATGGGGTGAGCTCCTGTTGTTCGGTCCCAGCTTCTGCCCACCTAGCAGTTCAAAAGCACGTCAAGTGCAAGTAGGTAAATAGGTACCGCTCCGGCGGGAAGGTAAACAGCATTTCCATGCGCTGCTCTGTTAATTTGATGCTGTCCCACTCCTGATGTTCTGACCACCCCTCTGAGGATCGCTTTGTCTTCCGTGCCATGTCATGTTTGTACGAGAGAAAAGCACAGGGGCAGCAGACACAACTACTACATGGTGCACTCAGCAGGGGAAAGTTCTGCCATGCTGCAATACCTTAATCTCCACCCGGTTTTGATTTTAGCCTCATCCACTTTTGCTGCTGGCTATTGCTGGCATGCACCCCTCAATGGGATGACCTGCAAGGGAATGTGACCATCAGCAAGACAAAGGAACCACTTCTTTTTTTTAAAAAAACCCCCAAAACAACTTACTGTATTTGGCAGAGAATGATGGATTTAGTTTTTAAAGGATTAGGAGTGTTTACTTTCATATGGTTGTTTAAATAAATGGCATTTTAAATCAAGGACCACCACCTGGTTAAAGAAATCTTTGCTGATTAGTTGTATGAGTTTTAATCAATTCATCATGAATAATTTTGCAAATGAATGTTAATTCTGAAGGAAAAATGTACTTTGGTTTTTGATGTTAGGTGCTTCACAGCAAACATTATTTTAGATGAAATGTTCTTCTTAATGCCTGCCAACTTGGTTTTTGCAAGTGCGCTTTTTTTTTTTTTAAGGAACATTTTTCTTTTAGACATCTGCTGCCTGATTTATCAGAAGCACCTTTTTAATCCATCAAATGCTTGAAGTTGATTGATCAAAAGGTTTTAAGTTGATTAATCTGATTCATCAGTTAAACTTTGCAGCCTTATTTTTTTTTAACCAGTTCCCTTTTCGACCTTCCAAATAATTTGTTAGAGTGAGATATGATAAATACGATTTCTTTTTAAAACCTAATGTAAAATCAAAAATCTGTTTTTCATTTTTAACGCCCCTTCCATCAGTTTTTTTCATCCTGGTGAAGTTACTCTTGTCCCTTTTTTCTGGTAGGTCCTCTCTGTTGATTACAGCTAATGACAGGCATAAAGGAATGTAATAATATTAGTAGAAAAAATGCCTAGTTTAAAGTTTTCTACTTCACTACCTCTCCGGGCTTTACATGTTGAATTTCTACCTGCCTTGCAGTTGTAGAGCCCTGCCATATAAAAGCTGGCAACCTTAAAAGTGAAGGTCTTCAGGTTCAATAATACTTCCTGATTTGTCTTGAAAGATCTGAATGTGAAAATAAAGAAATAAAGAAATAGGGAAGGGTGTGTTGCAACATTGCTACTAGTTTCTCTCTGCTAGCATCTCTCCCACTCTTGTTGGAACCTCCTCCCCACCCTCTACTAATTTCCATCTCCTCTATAATTCTCTTTCATTCATAACCAGCTGCTGTTTATGACCGCTGGTTGTGTTATTTTTAGCTGCAGAGACAGGCTAAACACAAAGGAAGCACATGCAGATTAATAAGCAGGATGGGACTGAGGCCCAGCTAGCACCTAACACAGCAGATTGCAAGGCTTGCTTGGCACCCAGTATTTGAGCCCTCTTTTGGGTTGCCAATGGTTCTCACTGGCCCAGCTCCCTTGCCTTTTAACTGCAGCCTGACATGCAGATAGGTTAGCAAGTTAGAAGCTTCTCTTGGCATGCAGATAAAGTAAGGAGCAAGGCGTGGATCTGCCAAACTTCTCTGACTGACTGTGCAGTTGCTAAAAGCACAGGAGCAGAGCCAAAAAGAAGTTGGCAACCCAAGCTTTTGCGCTGTGGGTTAAACCACAGAGCCTAGGACTTGCCGATCAGAAGGTTGGCGGTTCGAATCCCTGCGACGGGGTGAGCTCCCGTTGCTCGGTCCCTGCTCCTGCCAACCTAGCAGTTCGAAAGCACGTCAAAGTGCAAGTAGATAAATAGGTATCGCTCTGGCGGGAAGGTAAACGGCGTTTCCGTGCGCTGCTCTGGTTTGCCAGAAGCGGCTTTGTCATGCTGGCCACATGACCTGGAAGCTGTACGCCGGCTCCCTCAGCCAATAAAGCGAGATGAGCGCCACAACCCCAGAGTTGGCCACGACTGGACCTAATGGTCAGGGGTCCCCTTTACCTTTACCTTTTATCCTCTAACAGTCTCAAAAATTTGGAGATGCTTGTAACATCTCAATGTTCAGACCAGCGGCCGCTGCCTGAACATCCCCTCTCACTATTACCACACACTGCTGAAGTTTGCCTTCTGAGGATGACTGATCCAAGATGTAATTTATAAAGCAAGCATGGGCAAACTCCAGTCTTGTGGGATGTATTATGATGAGTTTACTAGAACTCTGCCATCCATCAACCAAAGCCAAATTCAAAATGGTGGTTTGGGGTCTGAGCCAACCCCTTACTTCACCTGGTGGGCTATATACTGGGATAGTCTGCGTATACAAGTACAAATCTCCACCTCCACCACTGCACAGCAGGGATTCCAACATGAACCCTCAGAATAGTCAGCAAAGATGCCCAAAGACCTGGAGAAAGGCAGCCAGTTGGGTGGACAGTGTCATTATACAGTTTCGTCACAAGGTGGCAGTTCTAGGTCAGTCATTTCCTGTTCCGTTTTTCTTGGAAAGAGACAATAAAGTTTTTGTCTTGCTTCCTGATTGGTGTGTCCTGTAAGCCTTCCAGAAAAATTGCATATATTTAACACCTGAAGAACACAGTGAAATTAAACGATGGCGCACTTAGCATGAACATTTTTTTTTAAAAAAAGAATTACTATTGTTAATAGCATGAAATCCTTGACTAACTTACTAAAAAACACCAGTAGTTATCAATTAAACTTTAGTCCTTCACTGTTCTGCAGACTCTGGAGAGGGAAGTCTGTCAGTCAGTCAGTCAGTCAGTCAGTCAGTCAGGGTTTTTCTTTCTTTAAAGAATTCAATAATTTAAATTTAGACATACACAAATATATGAATACACATACATATCTTACTATATAATAATTTTTGTAAGTCATCATGCTGCAGTTCTCCTGGCTGCCAATAGGTGGCCAAGCCAACTGCAGCATGAAGATAGAACAGCAGGCAGGACTATGCAGGCAGGCAGACAGGCAGGCAGGAGAGAGAGCCACTTGGATGGCAGGTGACCCAGATGAGCCACAGAGGAACAGTCAGGACAGGAAAGCAACTGTCTTACAGTGTGCACTTGCACTTGACACTGACATCAGAGACCAAGGAGGAAGAAAATGATGGGACAGTCCTTTTCATTCCCCTCTCTCCCATGAGTGGCAGTGACCTATCCCCACCACCCACAGCTGGGTCCAACTCCCCTCTCACAGTTTGCCCCGAGCTCTTCCATCCCCTCACAGTTTGCCCCTATCCCAATATCCCCCTTCTCTCTCCCCTGAGGGTGGAGGCAGCAATTGGGATCCTGGGATTGGGACAAACTGTAAGGGAGGGAGAGGGGAGTTTGGGGCATGAGATGGAACTTGGAAAAGGTGTGAGTAGGTGCAGATGGGGAGGTTGAAGGAACAGCGAGGGAACAGGGAGTTTGAAGGGGATGGGGTGTAAATGGAAGGGGGTTGGCAAAGGGGTGAAGTGGGGGTTTGGCAGGTAGGCAGGGTTGACGAGTGATGTGAGCAGGGGTAGCAGCTCCTAGTAATAGCATATGATCTTTTTTTTTTAAAAAAGGTATGACACGTCTATCATTATCAATGTTAACAAGTGTTAACTATTTTGATAAATCACATGGGGGAATTGCACTCCTCAATATTTACATTGTAATTGTTTTTCACAAATTAAATTTATGAAGCCATTTGCCTCTTTAAAAAGCCTATCGTATCTTGATTGGACGAAATGTGTAAGATGATGCTTCTCGCCTACCTTCCAAATTTTACTTAGCTGTCGGTGGTGGTAACCTATCCTTTCTGTGCTATTAACACGAAGTGGCCAGAGAATATAAAACCCACAAAAACTCTTTACACTAGATTCGTTTCCTTAAATGTCCTCAGAAGATCAGTGGGGCATCATCTAAAGGTGTAGAGTAATGGTTTGTCCAAGGAGTTACAGTCGTACCTCGGAAGTCGAACAGAATCCCAATCTACTTCCAAAACGTTCGGAAACCAAGGTGCGGCTTCCGATTGGCTGCAGGAAGCTCCTGCAGCCAATCAGAAGCCAGGGAAGCCCTGTTGGATGTTCAGCTTCCAAAGAAAGTTTGCAAACCGGAACACACACTGCCGGGGTTGCTGTGTTCGACGTGGAGCACCCCCATGCCATGGATACCCCTGTGGCTTGCCAAAGAGAAGAGGTTTTAACTGCTGTTTTTCCCTTGTATAGAATTCAGATGTGGAAGCCGAGCCTGCCTCTCTTCAGATCTTCCTCGCACAGTTGACAGTAACGAGCCGCACTGAAACAGCTTCCTCGCAACTGTGCAAATAGAATTAGTGCATCTAAACAGGAAATGGTGGTGCAGTCGGTCGGCTGAAACAACATCCTGGAGCTTCACCAAACTGCCACATGCTAGCTACAGCTTTCATTGTAGGGACTAAAGAAAACCCATGGGGGAGAGGGAGAGAGAGAGAGAGAGAGAGAGAGAGAGAGAGAGAGTCATTGCTGCTGAAATGGATTTTTTTTTTGTGGGTGAGTGGGTAAAGGAAAGGGGTTTCAGTTCGGAGAAAATGCTAATTCCTACCAAGGAAATGTGGGCACGATTCGCTTTACTGACTTTCTGCTTGAGTCAGGTTCCCTGACAAGGACTGTGCCAAAAATGGGGCAAAAGAGGATGCAGATTCACCTAAATTTTGCATATGATGATTTGCATCAAAACAGGCAATCTTAGAAATAAATACCATGATTTAAAAACATCTCACGGGAATGGTGACCAGGGAGCCATAAACAAACTTTTGGCATCGTAAAGGTAAAGGGACCCCTGACCATTAGGTCCAGTCGTGACCGACTCTGGGGTTGCGGTGCTCATCTCGCTTTATTGGCCAAGGGAGCCAGCGTACAGCTTCCGGGTCATGTGGCCAGTATGACTTAAGTCGCTTCTGGCAAACCAGAGCAGAGCATGGAAACGCCGTTTACCTTCCCACCTATTTATCTACTTGTACTTTGACGTGCTTTCAAACTGCAAGGTTGGCAGGAGCAGGGACTGAGCAACGGGAGCTCACCCCGTTGTGGGGATTCAAACCACCAACCTTCTGATCAGCAAGTCCTAGGCTCTGTGGTTTAACCCACACTGCCACCCGTGTCCCTTTTGGCATCATAGTGGGGTACTTATGGGAGCAGTTGGGGTGCAGGGTTTTTAAAAAGGGCAACAGAATCACACCAAACTGCACCCCTCATGTAGATTCTTCCAGAAGGGGGATGAATGTTGCAAATGGGTCATTCATATAGCTCAAACAGGTAATTGGCAACAGCTTTAAAAATGTCTTGGATTTCCCCCTGAAATGACAAATCTAGATTGAAAGGGGGGTGTTGGCATTGGATTATGAAACAATATGCAAACTGAAACGTAGCAAGCCTTTCCTGAATTTCATAATGCAGTACTGCAAACACATAACATATACAAAGGCTTATATTGGAGAAAAGTGTGCATACAAATGCACTTATTAGTGATAACATTTAAAACACACTGTGTTAGAGGAAATTGCTCGCAAAAATGAGTTTTCAGGTGGACTTCTTTTTTTCGGAAAAAATTGCATGCTGATGCATGAAACACAGAGAACTGAACTTTAGAGTGGAAGACTGAGAAACCAGAATTGACAGGTGTGCCCATCCCTGGCAGATGCTGCAAAAAAACTGTGCATGCACGAGGAGCATAGTTCCTGCAGTGAACACCTGTCTGGAGGAAGCACCTTCAGAACTGATCAAACAACAGCCTGGAACTAAACAAGCAGCAGCCTTTAAAAACAAAACCAAACCACCACAGTGAGAGCAAGCAGGGGATGTTGTTGGAGAGTAGCTGAATTCTACATAAGATAAATCGTTATAGGAAAGAGAACCCAGGCGCTAAAAGGTAGAAAGATTTTTGTTTTGTTTACAAGTTTCAGCATGATATGACTCCTCCTCTCCCCTCCCTCTCGCTGGGTCTGGGCATGGCATCTTGCTTAGAATGACCTGGCATGTATTTTCTGCCACTCATTTACACATAAGACACATATTGCTGGGATATGAATCAGAGGTCGCTTCCAGGCGACCTGTCAATTGAGCATCCATCCTGAACAATTAGCACAAAGTTTGCAGGGTGATGCCGGCGATTTGTTGAGCATGTTTTCCCATCAAGCAGTTGTTATCTACACTTTACAGCACATTTCCCTGTTACTTCCCTTTCTGGAAAAAAGTCTGGTTTTGCAGGTTGTTGAACCTGCACAACATGATTATGTGGAAGCATTGGTCTCCCAAGATCATTGAACACAACACACCTTTCCCCAACCTAATGTTTTCCAGATGTTTCTGACTGCAGCTCTCTGACCATTGAACATGCTGGTTGTGGTTGATGAGAGTTGCACTGCTCCTGCAGACAACCTGTTTATGGAGCAGTCATCCTGATTTGCTTGTACAGAGCTGGCAGTGAGGTTATACAATGTCCAGCCTTTGTTTGGCATTTGTTCCAATTTGCTTGCATGTAGCTTACACATCTTCCAATCAATCTATAATTATTCACACATTTGAGTGCATTTTCCCCATCACTTTCCTAACTGCAAAAAGCCCTTTAAAAAAATCTGTTGCACCAGAGTCCCAGAGCACTTTAATCCACTTTAATTGTGCCAACATAATTTCCCTGTATGCGATCAGATCCCTCCTATAGGTAATCTGTAATCCAAAACATCTGGATGACATCAGATTAGGAAATGGTAGAGATGGAGGAGAAACTCAATTCTGTTCTCATTTGAAGGCAGGTCTATCCAGCTCACACTTTCCAAATCATTACGTGGACCAGAACATAGCCATCTTTTGAAACGTGCATTTCTCTGAATTTTGCAATGCAGTTCTCCAGTCAAGTAATGTTTGCAAAAATGCATATACTAGTGGCATAAAAATGCATATGCTAATAAAAATAGCATTGCATTACAGGACAATGTTTTGCAAAAAGGTGTACATTAGGGGAAATTGCATGCAAACATATTTATATTAGGGGAAAATTCACATGCAAGGCTGATGAATTTTCGTGAGGACTTCAAACAAACAAAATTGCAAGCTGATGTGGAAATGCAGAGAACCAGATTTAAGACTGAAAAGAAAATGAGAAAAAGAGAGAAATGGAAACGGATGGATTCGCCCATCCCTAGGGAATGGCGCCGTGACTGCATGGAGAAATCTGTGTCAGCGCAAGCATGCCCAACCTGCAAATAGCGAGAACCTGCTCTCTCAAGAGCAGCGGCTCAATAAATCCCTGCCCTCCTGTTCTCTCGCTTTCACTCGGGAAAGGTTGTGTTTGGCTTGGGGGCAGTGCTTAACACCGATGTCCCTTTCGTGTTACCTAATAACAAACAGAGCAGCAGGCAGGCAGAATTCTGTGAATCCCAGGGAGCCTGGGGTGCTGTTGCAGCTTTCCAAGCAGCTGGGGAAGGAGGAGGCCATTCTGCTGTCAGCTTTTATTAAGAACGTGCACTTTGACTTTGCCCTTTTCATTTAATGCCAGCATTATCCTCCCTCCCTCTCTTATTTTGCATCCTGCCCAGGAAGATTTCTAAAAGACAACATGGAGTGTACAATGAATGTACAGAGAGTGGCCGGGGGGGGGGGAGAGAAGGGGGAACAGGATTGAACCCACTGGGCCCGCTTCTGATCTCTGCGCATGCACCAGAACTCCTGAATGACGCCTGCGTATGAACACACATAGTTATGGGATCTGCGCCCTGCGAAGATATAGCTTATGTGTTGCAAAGGGATAGAGGTTATGCACTCAAAGGGATTGGTGCTCCTCATGCATGCAAGTTCTGTGCAGCGTCCAAATGCCAGCAAGTCCCCCCCCCCAATTTAATTTGGATCTGTCTTTTCTGCAGAAAATCTGATTAGTTTTTTTTAAAAAAAACAAAACAAAAACACTGTTGACAAAGAGGTATTTGTGATACTGAATGACCTGTTTGCAATATTAAACCCCTTCTGGAAGCACTCGCAAACACATCGGGGCTGCACTGTGGGCTTCTGCTGTCCGTTTTAAAAAGGTGTGTTCACACATACGCCTTTTGAAGATGACTTCTTTTGAGTCAAACCATTGGTGCATCTAGCCTAAAGGTAAAGGACCATTAGGTCCAGTCTTGGCTGACTCTGGGGTTGCGGCGCTCATCTCGCTTTATTGGCCGAGGGAGCCGGCGTACAGCTTCCAGGTCATGTGGCCAGCATGATTGAGCCGCTTCTGGCGAACCAGAGCAGCACATGGAAACGCCGTTTACCTTCCCGCTGGAGTGGTACCTATTTATCTACTTGCACTTTGATGTGTTTTCAAACTGCTAGGGTTGGCAGGAGCAGGGACCGAGCAACGGGAGCTCACCCCGTCACGGGGATTCGAACTGCCAACCTTCTGATCGGCAAGACCTAGGCTCTGTGGTTTAACCCACAGCGCCACCCGTGTCCCTGTCACATCTAGCCTAGTAGATGCTAATTGCAGCTCTCCAGGACTTCATACAGGGCCTTTCCCAGCCCTATCGAGAGATATATCACTCAGAAAATGTTTAATTTGGGAATCTGTCACTTGGAACACTGTTCGTGGGAAACCATTGACCATGGTCTCTTTCTGGGTCACCTTGCTGGTTTGGAATATGGAGCAGAGATGGGGAAGGTTTTTTTGTTTTAGATCACATATAAAGGTAAATCTTTCTAACTTGCACTTTGCAAAACAAGAACTGGAAGACGGCATTCCTTTGAAATTTCTGTTCTCTGAATTTTGAAATGCCATTCTCTGGCCAAGTAGCTAAAACACACAAACAGGGATAAAACTTGCATAAAATGCATATATCAGTGAAAATAACATACAAACGTGCAATTTAGGAAGACTGCTTTGCAAAATGTATTTTTGGTAAAAATGCATACAAACACAACCAAATGCTGAAGGATTTTCATGAGATTTTTAAAACAATAATAAAAATAAAAAGCACACTGCTGTGGAACTATGGAGAACTGAAGACTGGAAACATGAGAAATGGAAAGAAATGGAAATTGCCCATCCCTAGAATCAAAGAATCATATAAATGTAGAGTTGGAAGGGACCTTGAGGGTCATCTGGTCCAACCCTCTGCAATGCAGGAGTCTTTTGCCCAATGAGGTACTCGAACCCATGACCCTGGTGCAGAAACATTGCCTTGCTGTGATCCCAGTACTTCCACTAGGGTGCAAAAAATGGCCAGCTGGTGGGAATCAGGATCTGGAGAGCCACAGATTCTTCATCCCTGCTCGTTCACTTTGGATGACTATTCATAAGTCTTTCCTAGCTATCAGCAGATCTCTGGATTTGCTGAACACCCACAACTTTCTGAAGGGTGGCAGAGAGGTGAATGGCATCCTGTCACATATAATAACAAATAACACTGTGTCGTGAAAACCTGCTCATCAGACCTGTAATAGCTCTAATGCAGAAGAGCATGAACTAAATAGATGCTGGAGTTACTGCCCCAGACAGGGGTGTCTGTCTTTTCCTCTTTTCAAGGCTGCTTTCACGATCACAACGAATGGTTAGCTAGCGTTCTGTTGAAAAAAGGCGGGCAATCGTCCAAGGCACCGGAAGGCGATGCCAACCTCCCAAATACAGCTGGGAACATGGTGAGAGTTTCTTTCCTTCTGCTCTGATATGCTGGGACACTTTGTTCTTTCATTGTGACACAGGGGTTGGGTGGCTTAGGAAAAAATATCATAATTGATGCCA